ATTTATTTCTTTTCTTTTCTTTTCACATTTTTTTTATTTTTATTATATTATATTATATTTTATTTTATTTTCACACCTCCGTAAAGGCAAACCACAAATTTCAGAATTATCTTACACTGCTTTAAAATGATATATATTGTAAAAAAGCGCTATACAAATAAATGTGAATTTAAAAACATGACTTATACCATCCTAATTGTCTCTCAGAGAGGTGATGCGTCCTGATGTGATGGAGGAAGTGATTGTGTCGTGCGTCTTGAACTTTTCCACGACATTCTAATTTATTGAGACGCACCTGTAATACTTCCAAAATAAAATCTGCTCTTAGGCAACATGCAACAAAAGTTTCTAGTGCGTTCTTAACGTTACTTGCTTCCACTCTATTGTGTTTTGATTGGTTTATCAAAGATTGATTCTTTTGGTTTGTCTTGTGGCCCACAGAACAAAATGAAGGAGCTGGAGCTTCTGTGTTCACTGAAGGAGGTTCCTCTGGACGGCGCAGATCCAGAAAACGCTGTGATGGCTTTAAGGTATGATGTGAAACACATTACGGCTTCCTATAGTGAAGCTAAATTTATCACAAAGCATTTGGTTACACCTACACTACTGTTCAAAAAGTTTGGGATTAGTAAGAAATTAATGGTTTTACTCAGCAATTGATCGAATGTGAGAGTAAAGACATTTAAAATGTTACAACATATTTCTTTCTTACTATCTAACTTTCTATTTATCAGAGAATCCAGGAATAAATTACATTTTAAAATATATTCAAATAGAAAACAGTTATTTTTAGGGTTGCAAAGGGGTGGAAAATTTCCGGAAACGTTCCAAAAATCCCTGGAATATTCCCAAAAATCCTGGAAAGTTTCCAAAATTTACTGGAAATTTTCCACCTTTTTGCAACCCTAGTTATTTTAAATTTTAATAATATTTCACAATATTTCTGTATTTTTAATATATTTGGAGACCAGGGTTTTTGTAGTTCACTAAAACTGAAATTAAAACTAAAACCATAAAAACATTTTCGTTACTTGAAATAAAATGGATATTAACTGAAATAAAATATTTTAAAACGTTTTTATTTCAGCTAGTTGTCAAGGCGACATTTTTCATTTTAATTTAATTTAACAATGTTCTAAAATATCTAAAGCTAAAACTGAAATAAAAAATGTATGAAAACTGCACAGACATATAAAAACACCAAAAACGACTAAAAATGACAAAACGCACACACACAAAAAAAAAATGTAATACAACTTTTAATACATAACATTTAAAATGAAAACGAAGTTCAAAAATAAAAACTATAATACGTATCTTAATGATATAAAAAAATTTAAATAAATAAAAAATAAGTAAGAGACTTTCAAAAGCAAACAAACAAACAAAAAAAAAACTCACAGACTCCAAACTTTGGAATGGCAGTGTACTTATGAAATTACTGGTGTTTCAGATCATTGTGATTGTGTGTGTTTTGTTTTGTTTCAAACAGAGAGAAGTTCTTCCATGAGGTGAACTCCATGCAGCAGCAGAGAAGCTCCGTTCCTCTGGCTAAAACCAAAGCGCTGGTGAAGAGCCTGATCAACCGCTCTGAGCTGCTGCTGCATGTTACCATCGCGCCACAGTGCAAGAGTCTGTCTACAACACCAGCATGCACACCAGGTGACTCGCATACGCATTTACACATGCACACGCCTGCAAAAACATACAAATGTGCTCAACGGCGCTTTGAACTTCTCCTGCTTGCAGCCTGTAAGTCGGTGTCAGACACCAAATCGATGGTTCCCATCGTGAAGCAGCCTGTGTTCCTGCGCAGTATGTCCGCTCCCTCAGATCTGGAAATGATTGCCAACAGTGATGTGGAGTTCACACATGGAGCACAAAGGTACCTCAGACTCAGCAGGAAGCACCAAATCACGGTTAAAGAATGAATATATGCACACCTATAAGAACACATCACTTGAATTTTGCATTAATTCACTAAGTATCTACGGTTCTGGACAACCACAAATAGCCTACAGTTAGAATAATAAACTACATTATTACATAAACCGCTAAGAACTGTTTGTTATGATTATTATTATTATTATTAAAACGGAATTTATTTATGCATTTTTTGTATTTATGCATTTATTTATTTTTACATATTAGCATTTATTTATACATTTATCAATGCATTTATTTATTAATACATTTATGCATTTATTTATTTGTGCATTTATTTATTAATTTATGGATACATTTTTTTATTTATGCATTTATTTATACATTTATTTTTTTGTTAAAATACTTTCTCCTATGACAGCTTAATTTGCAGAGCCATTCAAAGTTCAGTTTCTCCAAAACATGGCTCTGTTTGTACAGATGAGGCAGTGATCAGTAAATCAATAATATGTTATAAACCATTTAGTGACGTTAGTGACAAAAAATTGCAGATGTCAGTTTTAATGCTATGTTTATTTTTTTTTTTTACTTGGCTTATTGCTGTAATAGATACATTCAGGTTTATGCATTTATTTATGTAATTTATTTATGCATTTGTTTCCTTATACATTTATTCATGCATATATTTTTATTTATGCATTTATTTATACATGTGTGAATTTATTCATGCGTTTAATTATGCATATATTTTTATTTATGCATGTTAAAATACTTTCTCCTTTGATGGACTGTTCAATAAATCAATCATTTTTATAAACGATTTAGTGACATTTATTGCTCAAAAATTACACGTCTTTTTTAATGTTAATGTTTTTTTTTTCTTTTTTGCTTAAATTGCATGTCAGTTTTAATGTTTTTTTTACTTATTACTAAAGTAGGTCAATTCTAGCATTCATTTATGCATTTTATGTTTGCATTTGTTTCTTTATTTATGCATTAATAATGCTTTTATTTCTGCATGCATTTTATTTATGCATTTATGTATTTATTTATTTATATAATAAATATTAGTATTTATTTATTTAATAATTAATATTGAATAATTAGTTACTAAATAAACCCTTTAGGAACATTTGCCAATTACACACATCAGTTTTAATGTTGTGTTAATGTTATGATTTTTTATTTTAATTGGCCTATTGCTTTAATAGGTAAATTCTAAAGGTTGCTACAATTTTTTACTAACTAATTGCCTGTCTGTCTGTGGGTCTAGGAGGCACCTCCATCCATCCAGTCACCGGAGCAGCTCTTTTACTCTGCTGCAGTCATTGGCCATTGAAGACAGCAAGGACAAGCCCACGTACAGCGTGCTGCTGGGACAACTGTTCGCCTTCATAGGAACCACTCCTGATCAGACCGTAAGATCAGACAGTCGCATCGCTCACTGACTAACATCCCTGTGGCCATTCAGCTCTTAAAGTGCGTCTTCTGCCTGCAGGTGTCCAGCAGCAGCTTCTTGTCCGCGGCTCAGACGCGCTGGAGGAGAGGCCGCACCCGGAGACAGGCTCTGGTTCACATGAGAGAGCTGCTCACCGCCGCTGTTCGGGTCGGAGGAGTCACACATCTGGTCGGCCCCGTCACCATGGTGCTGCAGGGCGGACCGCGGTACGTTTAACCTCAGATATTTACACATGCGCTATACTCTTTCAAAAAACCACTCTTACTGACCCACAACTGTTGAGATCAGAAATTCGTCTTTTTTTTTTTTTAAGTAATGCGTACTTTTATTCAGCAAAAGTGACAGTTAAAACATTTCTAATGTTGCAAGATTTCCATTTCAAATAAATGCTGTTCAGTAGGGCTGCGACAATAAATCGATGCATCGCAAATTGAGAAATGATTCTGCACTGATTCTGTGATTTTCCGAAGGCATCGCGATTCTCTCTTGAATCGGTTCTGAGTTTAGTTTTTAACAGCAGATGGCACTGCGTGCTTTAGAAGCAGCCGTATTCTGCTTGCTTCCAGTTCCTTACACACGCACCATTTGAACCTAAAATAATCATTCATAAAGTTCAAAAAGGTTGAAGCGAATTACAAGGATGTTCACAGTGGGCTGTGTTTACATTAATCTTGCATTATAAAAGCATAAGAGCCGATGTGCAACTACATTTAACCACTTACATTACTGAACGCACAAGCGCTCTTCTTCGTGAGCATTTGAGTGTGCGGTTAAAAACTAGCCTAGAGCGACATCTGCTGTTAAAAACTGAGCTCAGAATCGATTCGAGAGAGAATCATGATCCATTCCGAAAATCCTTTCAGAATCGATCCACGAATCGCGATGCATCGATTTATTGTCCCAGCCCTACTGTTCAGTGAACTTTCTGTTCATCAAAGAATCCCGAAAAATAAAATGCATCACGGTTTCCACAAAAATATGAAGCTGCACAACTGTTCTCAACATTGAAATTAATCAGAAGTTTTTTCTTGAGCATAGGGGTGTGCCTAAATGTATCATCTATGATAATATCATAATTGTTGTTTTAATGATATGCAAGCTGATATTATCAGTCACTGTGCAAAAAACAAACAAAAACATGTCTTGAGCGTGCAAAAGCATTCATTGCGTGATGAGGCCTATCAGAATGCACCTATCATTAAAGCTATGAATGCAAAAAAATATCCCTGAATGGGTTTTTGTTTTTTATATGTATACGATGTGATATAGTTGAGTACTATCACACAAGCAAGAGTGCTGTTTTCCCGAATATCAGCACGTTAGCTTGATCGCAAATGTGGTGTTGATTTTATACAACAGTTCAACAAACAAGAAGTTAATATTGAGTCAGTTACATTTTAGACACAAAATGGTCAGTTTTTTTCTGTTTTGGCAACAGAAATATTCCCAAACGAAGCCGGAGCAGAACATTTGTGCATCACAGAGCAACACTGCAATGTTTCGTGCCTGAATGAATCTGTTTTTGAATTAATCATTTGTATCAATGATTCAATGATTGAATCATTTGCATCAATGATTCAATGATCCATTTATAAAGACAGCCACTTGCTTCATTTCTAAATGAATCAGCTGTTTTGAACAAATCATTTGAATGAATGATTCAGTGAATCACTCATTAAGACAGGGACTTTCCGCCACCTACATGCCATTTTAATGTCATATTTATTTATCCGTGACAGGCCTAAACCAGCCAAACACAGAAACACACAGCAAAATATTGGGTTACACATTATTTTAAGGTGTTAACTATATGGTTAGGATTAGGATTAGGGTTACTTGCATGTAATTATGCATAATTAATTATTATAATAGTAAGTACTTAATAGTAATAGTACTTAAAATAAAGTGTTACCAAATATTGTTTAATTATCATTATCGGAAAAATCCCCAAAAATGTTAAGATATTACATATCTACTCGAGCAGCAAATCAGCATATTAGAATGATTTCTGAAGATCATGTGACAATGAAGACTGGAGTAATGATGCTGAAAATTCAGATGCACATCACAGAAATAAATTACATTTTACAATATATTACAATAGAAAACAGTTATTTTTAATTGTAATAATATTTCACAATTTTACTGTTTTAACTGCATTTTTAATCAAATAAATGCAGCCCTGGTGAGCAGAAGAGACTTCTTACCAACCCCAAACTTTTTATTTTTGGTTTAAAATTGGTAGATCGATCTGCAGAGTGTTGCATCTCTGCTGTGAAGCTTTAGTTGTCCATTTGACTGTGTGTGTGTGTGTGTGTGTGTGTGAGTGTGTGTATGATGGAGCAGGTCCAGGAGGCCTTTGGAGAGACCATGACGTCAGTGGTGTCTCTCTGCGCCCGTTACCCAATCGCCTGCGCCAACAGCATCGGCCTGCTGTGCACCATCCCCTACACCAGGCAAGCACTCCGATTCAGCTCTTATTGCATCAAATCAAATATGGAATTATGTAACATGACCTCGGTGACGTCAACAGAACAGGAAATTATTTCTTCTTAGAAATAATGTGCACTGATTAGTAGAACAGTAACACTTGGAAAGTGTATTTAAAAAAAAAAAGCAATTGGTGCCAATTTTGATATAATATTCAATTAAAATCCCAACATGCTTTTACAGTAAAAAGTGCTTTATTACTTAAAATACTTATTTACAGTATTTTTGTGTAATTGATGTAGTATTAAAAAAAACTATAAGGTAGCATTTAGTCAAGTCAAGTCAAGTCTGCTTTATTGTCACCCCAGCTAAGATGAGAAAAGCATCAGGGTGGGCTGTCTGCTGCTCACTGATGTGCTGGTACAGTTCATTCAGTGCCTCGCTCCTGTTGCTGTTGTTGGAGCTGGGAGGGATGTATACAGCAACAATTTAATTTGTTAAATTAACAATTTGCTAACAATTTAATTTTATATTTTGAGTTTTCATTTTAATTAGTTTTAGTAATTGTATGTGCTTTAAAAAAAACAAAATTAAAATATTTTGAATAGTCTTAGATTTAAAATTCAAGCTTACAATTACAGTTATTTTAGTATTGTTTATATACAATTATAGTTTTATTTACATTTTAAATGAGCTTTTATTTTTATATTTTCAGTTTTCTTTTTTTAGTAATTTTATGTGCTTGTCATTCATTTTTTCCCTTATTTCTATTTAGCTTATTTTATTATTTAAATTTTAGATGATGAATAATGTTGAATTTAAAATCCCAACTTGGTATTATAGTAGCAGTGTTATTTTAGTATTATTTTTTGCATGCTCTGGTAGTATTGATTAACATTTTAAATGAGCTTTTATTATAATATTTTCAGTTTTCATGTTTTATTCATTTTTTATGTTTTTTTTTTTGTTGTTTTAGGTGATTAATAATGTTGTCGTTATGGTGTTGAAAAATATTGATTTTAAAATCCCAATGTACTGTTACAGTATCAGTGTTATTAGCAGTTAGTATTATTTATTTACTATTATAGTATTTAAGATTTTAAATTAGCTTTTATATTTACATTTTAGTTTAAATTTGAGTGATTTTGTAATGTGCTTTTGCCATTTTATGCCCATTTATGTTTAGCTCATTTATTTTTATTTCAGTTTTAGATGATGAAAAATGTTGTAATTTTGATGCTGAATAACAGTAAATAGTTATTATTTTATATTTTCAGTTTAATTTTATTTTGTTTTAGTTGTTTTATGCAGTTTTGTAATTTTTTTGTGTGTTTTTCCTCAGTATTTTTATTTAGCACATTTATTTTTATTACAGTTTTAGTAATTTTAGTACATTAATCTAAAATTGATTTTATTTCAGTAAGTTTCCAAGGCAACATTTCTAATTCTCATTTAAATTTTTCAATGCATATGTAGATTTTATTTAGCCTTTACTAGTTAAAGCTAACAATAACAACACTGTTCAACAGAAAATATGTCAACACTAGCCAGAGCATAAGATTTTGATAGTATAGCGCTCTGTGTTGTTGTGGTCAGGAGTGAGGAGCAGTGTCTGGTGCGCAGCGGTTTGGTTCAGCTGATGGACAGACTGTGCAGTCTCAGCAGTCAGAGAGACAGCAGCTCCAGTGAGAAACAAACCAAAAAACAGAAAGTAGCTACGATGGCCTGGGCTGCGTTCCAGGTGCTCGCCAACCGCTGCATCGAGTGGGAAAAAGTCGAAGGTGAGCAACGTTTGCGGTTCCAGAAGTATCACAGCAATCCTGTTCAATGTTAACTGACGCTCACTGTTGTGAAATAGGCGGCTCCACAGACGCAGTGCATTCTGGGCTGGCGCGACAGGTGTCTAGCCTGCTAACCAATCACCTGGCTCGCGCGACAGACTGCTGCGGGAACCAAGCGGCGGGGAACGACGCCCTGCAGGATGTGCTCAGCTTGCTCAACGATCTTTCCAGGTACTTCCTGTTTCACCTGAACAACTTCTCTGTTAATAAAGCAGAGTGTTGTTAAATTCTCAATTCCTTTCGTTTCACACATGTTTCAAGGATGTTCATTTTCTGCATGTTTATAAAAAGAAGTACACTTTAGCATACTATTTAAAACTAGCACTTTTTATTGAAGTTATACACTTTAGAAGAATATACTTAAGTTTCTTAACTTACGTTTCTTCAAGTAAATGCTTTCAGACATTTAATTGCATCAATTAAATGCATTATGTCACATGCAATTAGCTGATCATTAGAGTGCTTTTTGAGCCACTTGAGTACATTTTATATGTAATTTCATAATTAAATTTTATTGAAATATGGCTGAATGTACTGACAAGCATGTATTTTAATGATATTTCTATTGAAACTTGGATGTCATATATTTAAATATATTTGTAATTACACATTTGTAATAATGAAGTTGCAATTTAGAATATTTAATAATATAAAAATATTTTAAAAATTTTTTTTATCAACTTCAAATTTGGAGCACAACTTATTTAAATGTGGCTGAAATTTTGGATTAAAAACTATTTTGTGAAATAATATATAAATAATTAATTTAAATAAAGTAATAAATTAGTACAGTACATTTTCTTTACAGTAAATTTAAATAAATGTATAATTTATAAATAATTTGTATAACTTTTTTATACTTGTATTTGTATTTTTTTTTTTTATTATTTCACTTCTGCAATAATCTGCTGATTGTCTTCTTTAAAAACAGACCAACCTTAGGTCTGTATTCAAAAGCGTTTAATGAATTATAACAATTTAAGTTTGGATAGTGCACTTTCATGTCTATGTTCAAAAATGGGGGGTGACAGTTACGGGGTTTTAAAACATATTTTAATATGATTAAATATTTAAATATTAACATGATTTAAAATGTACTTCAAAGTAAAACTTTTAATTTGACATTATTACAAAGGTCACTTTTTAAAAGTGTACTTAAGTGTGTTCAGAAACAGTCATGAAAGTGTCTCTTTTAGTCACTTAAGTGGCCTTTTATTTCATTAATATTATATTATTTGTAAGTACAGTTTCTAAAAATGTTCTTTTAAGATTTGAAGTAGCCTAAAAGTGCACATTCAATACAATTAAGTGCACTTCTTGTTCACAAGGGCATCCAGATTTGTCTTAAAACTCATGTTTTATACATCAGTAAATTAAGACGGTGCCTAAATGGTTAAGTAGTATTTATTGTTACTGTTTAACCACAATAAATAAATAAATAAACTGTAATTTTATTGCATAAAAATAATAAATTAATAATATTAATAAAAGTTATGTATTAAAATTATACTGATATAAGTCTCATTTCCTAAAGTTTGGTTCTTAAAGGGTTAAGTACACATGAACATGATAAGTAATCGCTGCAGTTTGAGTGCAACATGCGTGAAATTTGAGATAATCTGCCAATCAGTAAAGCAAAGCGATTCATTTTGTGAATCATTTTTGATCAATTGAGGAACCTGCTCAAAAAGAGTCATTATGAATCGCACTACACTGGAGATTCTGCATGCAGCTGATACACACAACAAACATTTATTTTAGTGTTTCAACAGTCCAGTAGTAATTAAACTCTGCATAACTTTCAACTTTTTGAATATTCTGCTTAAGTCTAGGGATGCACGATATTGGATTTTTGCCGATATCCGATATGCCGATAATTTTCAACTCATTTTGGCCGATACCGATATATAATTATTTTTTTAATTTTGGTTAGTTTTTAACAAGAACTTATTTGTTAGAATTAAATAAACAATATTATAAATAATAAAGTTCTTTTATAATGTCAGTACATTGAAGATTTGAAAATAACTATAAATAAACTGTATATTAATCACTGCATTTTTTTTTCAGAGAGATGCAGTAACCTTTACATTTTATTTTATGATTTAACATTTGTAAATGGTCTAAAGCAAAATCTTTTAGAGCTCATAATTTGTTTAAAAAATATAACATATTACACATTAATTAATAAATCATTATATATCAAGTTATTTAGTTTAAGTGTCATGTTTGTGATTTATTTATTTTTTGTTCATGTAAGCTTCTGATCTTTTAAATCAAAACATACTCATGATTTTATGGCATCAATTAATGCTTTATTTAATCAGAAACAGTCAAAATATTATTAGTGTATTTTGCTTTCATTTTATTAGAAGTAGGCCAACAGCGCCCCCTACGGAAATAAAACTCCTTACCGAACAGGCATTAGGACCCGGGGGAGGCTGCTGCTGCACGTGCTATTACTGTTTACTCTATCATACACCAAACGCATTCTGTACATGCATTCTCAGTTTAAATGCAGCGATCCAAAACAGTGAATCCACTCACCATTCAGACAAAACTTTGCTTCTAGAATGAGCCACACTGCTGATGTGATCTAATCGCTAGCACACCCTGAGCACATGTGAGTTAATGCATTCCTCTTAACGGCAAGACATATCAGCGTAATTTTTCATATCGGGCCGATGCCGATATTTACATTTAAAGCCATTATCGGCCGATTCCGATATTGGTCCGATAATATCGTGCATTCCTAGTCTTAATGGATTTACCTGATTTCCCCCGGTTTGAACCGTTGCATCTCTCTTTCTCCTCTTCCAGGAGCCACATTGGCAAAACCATCCTGAGCCAGCCTGCCTGCGTGTCTAAACTCCTGTCTCTGCTCCTGGACCAGCGGCCCTCGCCCAAACTGGTGCTGATCATCCTGCAGCTGTGCCGCGCTGCGCTGCCGCTCATGAGTGTGGAGGATTGTGGGAATGTAGCGCTGCCGTCCTGGAGCTACGCGACGAATGCGCTGGACGCAGAGCAGCAGGAGGCCAGTGATCCTGCCTTCCGCATCGCGTCGCTGCTGCTGGCCAAGCTGGCGGACTACGTGGTGCCAGGTGCGAGAGAATGCTGCTTGGGTTTAATAAAAATAATGAAGGGTCTCTCAAATGTATCATGTTTTATGTGCCTTTGTGTTCAGGCCAAAGACTGTGTAACCTTCACTCTATAACTGGCTTTGAGGTCGATACAATTTTTTAACATTAAAGTCTGTTCTGCTCACTCGTCATTTGATCAGAAACACGGTACAAACTGTAATATTGTGAAATGTTATTATAATTTAAAATAGCAGTTTTCTATGTGAATATCTGGTAAAATGTAATTTATTCCTGTGATCAAAGCTGTATTTTCAGCATCATTACTCCAGTCTTCAGTGTCACATGATCTTCAGAAATCATTCTAATATGCTGATTTGCTGCTCAAGAAACATTTCTGATTATTATCAATGTTGAAAACAATTGTGCTGCCTGATGTTTTTGTGGAAACTGTGATGCAATTAATTTTTCGCAATTATTTGATGAATAGAAAGCTCAAAGAACATTGTTTATTTCAAATGGAAATGTTATCATTTTTGATCATTTAAATACATCCTTGAAACTGAGGGACGTTATAGTTTACTAAAACTAAAAAAAAAAAAAAAATTTTCTACTTGAAATAACTTAAAAAAAAAAAAATTCTGCTAGTTGCACAGCATTTCTCATTTTTATTTAGTTTCACTTGATCTACTAAGATAATTAAAACTGTTTATTTCAGTCTTAGTTTATATACAGGTAGTTGTAATAAAAACTATATAGACATTTTTAAAAAATACAAACTAAAAAGATTATGAAAATATGCAAAAAAATTACTACGTTAACTTAACTTGCCAATTCACAGGTGCTATTTTTTACTTTATTTTACTTTCAGGCACTATTTGTGACCCTGGAGTCTTAAGTCGCTGGGGTATATTTGTAGCAATAGTCAAAAATACATTGTATGGGTCAAAATTATTGATGTTTCTTTTATGCCAAAAATCATTAGGATATTAAGTAAAGATCATGTTCCATGAAGATATTGTACATTTCCTACTGTAACTATATCAGAACTTAATTTTTGATTAGTAATATGCATTGCTAAGAACTTCATTTGGACAACTTTAAAGGCGATTTTCTCAATATTTTGATTTTTTTGCACCCTCAGATTCCAGATTTTCAAATAGTTGTATCTCGGCCAAATATTGTCCTATCATAACAAACCATACATCAATGGAAAGCTTATTTATTCCGCTTTCAGATGATGCATACATCTCAATTTCGAAAAATGGACCCTTATGACTGGTTTTGTGGTCCAGGGTCACATTTGATCATTTATTTATGCATTAATAATTTACCTGTAATAGTTCTAATATTACCTAATATGTATGCTTTATCAACATACTTATTTATTTTTTTATGTCCTCTCTTAGGTTGCCAGACGTTGCTCTCCCCCAGCGCCTCTGAGGCCGACACCAGTCTGACACGGGCCTGTCCGAAGAGCAGCGCTAAGACTGACCGAGACGCTAGCGAGGAGGGTGAAGCCGTGGATGGCAAGCTGTCCATTTTTATCCATAAAAGAGAAGACCAGTCGTCCCATGAGGTGCTTCAGCCGTTACTCAGGTAAAACACACTCACCTCATTAAACACTTCAGTTCTGACACAAAGTTATGATTGACGTCAGTGTTTGCGTGACACCTTGCAGCAGCTCAGAGGGTCGTCCTTTCCGCCTCGGCACCGGAGCGAACATGGAGAAGGTGGTGAAGATGGATCGGGACATGACGAAGGTCAGCTCTGGTTTATTGGCGATGGGTTTGGGGAGCAGAAAGCAATGCTGGAAGAGTGAAATGCCTGTGTTCTGCAGAGCGGCTGCTGTGAGGTGATCACGGAGGAGGCTTCGTCTGCTCTGCGGAAAGCCAATAAGTGGGCTCAGTCTGGGCTTATTGTTAGTGTGGGTCCTCCGATAGAGAGCACAGGCCAGGAGAATGCTGGGATATCCACCACAGGTGACAAGAAGAAAAGCGCCCAGTCTACAGTGTGCAGAGAGAGGAACGCTGAGCTGGCTCGGTAAGCATCTTCATAAGGTCTTCCAGTTTTATGTGCTGCATGCCTGCAAACTCATTGCCTTTCAGTGAAATGTGATTCATTTCAAGTGATTTGTGCAAATCAGAGGAGTTTTTATATCTGAAGGGGATTGACTGTCTTTGGAAAGGTTTTGATGGCATTTTCTTTTCATCTTACCTCCTTGTTATACCTAATAAAGCAGGGCTATTTTAGTATCATTGAGATGCTATTATAGTTTTTATTAATATTTAGAATATTTTTTAAAATACATTCCGTTTTCATATTAATTTTAGTAATTTTATGTGATTTTGTAATTTTAGTAGTTAAGTAATGTGCTTGTTAACTTTAGGGATTGGATAGGATTAGGGGTGTAGAATATTGTCATGCAGAAAATGTGCTTTATAAGTACTAATAAACAGCCAATATGTTAATAATGGGCATGCTAATAAGCAACTAGTTAATAGTGAGAACTGGTCCTTATACTGAAGTGTTACCTTTATTTTAGTTAAAGTTTATTTTACTTCAAGTAACAGTAATTGTTTTATGGTTTTAGTTTCAGTTAACTATAATAACCCTGCTATAAAGTAATGTTTATTTGTTTGTATTGTTTAAGGACAGTACTGAAATTGAAGAATTTAAGACATAAATATTAGTATTGTAACTTGCAGTGTAAAATAATTATTATAATGATCACTTATTTTAGTTAAAACAATATAATGTTAATACTAATAATAATAAGCCCTAAATACGTGTCGTCATACTGTATATATAAATAATTTGAAAACAAAAACAGTCCAAATAAAACACTTAAAAATATGTGATATTTTATCAGTTTATTTTGCATGTCAAGTAACCATTAACCAACTATGAACTTTTAAATATGTAATTAAATTATTGAAATATTCACTTAAAATTTTGAAGGGTGCTTTAAGTAAATATTTTATGTTGACAGAAACGTTTGGGAATTTCTGACATTATCATTCATTGAGGTCTGTCATTTTATAAAACGTTTTTGTCAAAACTTGTGTTATTTGAACTCTGAAGTTGTTAAAATCATAGTTTTTACAGTTTAGGATGTTACTGTAGGCATTGTGACATTTCAAACCAGTAGAAGTAGTTCTAATATCACAATTTTCCAAAATGATTTCAACGGCTGATTCCAAGAAGTTTCTAGAAGGAGAAATGACTGAAACTCTTTGATTTGACACACAGCTCGGATCCGGTGCGTCCCTTCATCAGCGGTCACGTGGCGAACAGCATGGCTGCGGAGGTCATCGCTCCGCTGCACAGTCTCCTGACCGCGCCTGAGTCCAACACGGCTCAAATATGGACCAGCACCGCAGAAAAGGTGCGCTGCGGTCTTTCGTTCCCTAACAAGGGCTCAATTACAGCTGGCCTTAAAATCAAATGAAAAATACAGTTTGTGTTGTGTTCACTCTATACTCCTCTCCGTCAGGTGTTGTCCAGGGCCTTGATGTACATCCCTCAGTTAGGCAAGCACGCTGAGAGTATTCTGGAGAGCGGCAACAGTAGCGGCAGGAAGTTAGCCAAGCTGCAGGCCATTGGCCGACAGGCCGTGGCGGCTCTCTGCGCGCTGGGAGGATTCAAGGAGACCATCAAGATCGGCTCTGAAGTCCAGGTGAGCCATTACTCTAAATTAGAGCCCGACCGATATATCGTTTTGCCGATGTTATCGGCCGATATGAGCCTGTCGCAGATATATCGGTATCGGCGAATTTGCCACCGATATGAAACATTTTTTACAGAACATAAAACGCAGATAAAATGCTTGTAAATGGTGTAATTACGTTGTTTGTCCAGCAGAGCGCGCTCCATTGTTTGCTACTGGCGACCTGGATGAAACGCTTTAAAGCTTAAAGGAACACTCCACTATTTTTGAAAATAGGCTCATTTTCCAACTCCCCTAGAGTTAAACAGTTGAGTTTTACCGTTTTCGAATCCATTCGGCTGATCTCCGGGTCTGGCGGTAGCACTTTTAGCTGTAGCTTAGCATAGATCATTGAATCTGATTTGACCGTTAGCATCTCGCTCAAAAATGACCAAAGAGTTTCTAATGCTTTAAAGCTTAAGTCTATGGAAAACCATTGAATCTTTGAACGGCCATATCTCCGTAACGGCGCGGCGGATCCGCACCAAATTCGGGGGATCCCTTCAGCTCGAGGAACCCTCTCGAACACCAAATCGAATGTACGTCTCGAGGCCCCCTTTCGAATGAGACCACCTGTAGTAAGTTTTTTCCTATTTAAAACTTGACTCTTCTGTAGTTACATCGTGTACTGACCGACGGAAAATGAAAAGTTGTGATTTTCTAGGTCGATACGGCTAGGAACTATACTCTCATTCCTTTGATCACCACATTTGCGTGATCATTGCAAAATTCTGTTTATGTATATACTGTATTCTATATATAGTACCAGTCAAACGTTTGGACACACGAATGGGAAAGTACTGTACTGTACTATAATATACACAAAGAATATCGGCCGATATGTGACCCTGGATGTATGGTTTGTTAGGATCGGACAATATTTGGTCGAGATACAACTATTTGAAAATCTGGAATCTGAGGGTGCAAAAAAATCTAAATATTGAGAAAATCATCTTTAAAGTTGTCCAAATTAAGTTCTTAGCAATGCATATTACTAATCAAAAATTAAGTTTTAATATATTTACAGTAGGAAATTTACAAAATATCTTCATGCAACATGATCTTTACTTCAGAAAAATCAATCATTTTGACCCATACAATGTATTTTTGGCTATTTCTACAAATATACCCCAGCGACTTAAGACTGCTTTTGTGCTCCAGGGGCACATATATCGATATCGGCCTTTTTTTACTCCCTAATATCGGTATCGGGCCCCAAAAAACCCATATCAGCCGGGCTCTACTCTAAATAGACACGGTTTTTAGCAGATGAATTGTTTCAGTTGTTCACATGACTAGTATCTTGCTGAAGTGTTTGTTCTCGGTGGCAGGTGGTGGGTAAAGGTGTGTTGGACAGTGTTGGGGTCGTCATATCCATTAATGAGCAGGAGGGAATCGCCATGGTCAGGTTTCCTTCCTGCGCATATCGGCGCACGAGCAAAGCGTCGGATATCCTCACCGTGCCCATATCCCGCCTCTGCACCCCTCGCTCTGAGGTAATCGCCTCTGAAACGTCTGCAGAACGGCAGAATTTCATATGTTTTGCATTGAATAATGAAAATGTTTTCTGTCACAGTTTCATTGCTCGTTATTATCTACCTCATCCTCGACTCTGTGACGTGGAATTATTCATTTCTACTCATAATGCTCTTTGTTATTAACTTGTGAAAATTAAGTAAACTTTAGCATACTTTTAAAAAAAGTAGCTAATTGTTACACAAATAACACACTTTAATATACTAAAGTGCGAACTGTATCGACACTCAAGTGCCTGTTAATTGCAATTAAAAAAAAAATTCCATTTTAATAAATGCATTTAGCTGAACTTAAGAGTGTTTTTGACCCACTTAAGTAGGACTCGAGTGCATCTTTATATGCAGTTTTATAATTACTTCTGTAGTATGAAATATGGTAAAAGTGCTGCTGAATGTACTGACAAGCATTTATGACTAAAATATACTTTATTTCTATTGAAACTTGTATGTCATGTATTTAAATCTATTTGAAATTAGTCATTTGTAATGAAGTTGCCGTTTAGTGCATTTAAAATCTATTAACTTTAAATGTAATATTGAATAACACACTACAGTTAAAACGATAATCAAGTACTTTACATGTGCTTTAGTTTGTTAGTCAACACATCAGAATAAGCGTACTACTTTAAAACACGACAAATGATTATTAAAACAACATCAAATTAAAAGTTTTTACTTTTTACTAAGTGCATTTTAACTTATTAACACGTGCTTTTGTTAAGAAAACACAAATGAAAGTGTATTCTCTTCACCTTTGAGTTATTTTAGTACTTTAATTTAAACTTATTTTATTTCAGTTCGTTGCCAAGGCAACATTTCTAATGATTTAATATTTATAATTTATTTCATTTCAATCTTTCAATTTCAACTAATGAAAAATGTTAACGTTAACCGATTCTTTTTTTTTTTCAATAAATGTTGTATATTTAATAGTTTTAGTTAACAATAACAATTTAGACCACAACTTCTTATTAAACATGACATGACATTTTATGCAAACATGCTTTTTCAATCATGACATCCATACTTTATTGGAATCGAATGACTCTCTATTAATGATGTGGAATCATCTTGGTTAGTTAGTTAACAAACAATTTGTAAATATAAAGTAACAACCCACTGTTTACTTACTAGGGATGTAACGATTCACTCAACTCACGATTCGATTTGATTCACGATTTTGATTTCACGGTTCGATTCGCGATTTTTTTTTAACAAAATGAGATTTAAGACAATTTATAAATTAAATGTGTCCTTTTATTATTGCTTGGATAAAATACTGTACGTTTCTTTGTGAAATTGAAATATATAATACTATACTAATATAGCACTTGCGTATTATTGCTCTTTTGTTGGTTTGATTCACTCTCTGCCAGCAGGTGGCGCTTAAAGCCTTTCCTTGGTTTCCGCTGTAAACAAAGTAGCGCTGCACTTATGAACTTTAATATGCTTTATACAGAGGCAAGAGGAAAAGAAAAAAATACCATCTAAATACAGTAAGTTCCCCTCAGACATGCATTCATATAAACTCCTACCACTAATCGAATCGCGATTTGTTTAGCATCTCAACCAATTTGAATCGTCACATATTCAAATCAATTTTCAACCGGCTCGCGGTTAATCGTTACATCCCTATTACTTACCATTGAGCTGACTGACGTACTGCAAGAAAGAAATGCACTTTCAGATATGAATAAACGTGCCTTCGCCTGTAGCCTTTTCAAGCAATGTCAGTCATCTTGCAGATTTGTGAAGCAGCTCAGATTTCTGCCGTCACGTCTCTCACGCAGCTCTGTGTGTTTGTGGTCAGGCTCTGCCGCTGCATAAGCTGTCCATCACAGAGAAGGTTGTTCAAGCCGTTCAGTCCATGCTGCTGCCGTCTGTGTGTTTGTGGTCAGGCTCTGCCGCTGCATAAGCTGTCCATCACAGAGAAGGTTGTTCAGGCCGTTCAGTCCATGCTGCTGCCGCAGGAGGGCAGTCTGTCCATCCACACGTCTCTGCCTGCGTCTGGAGACGGATCCAGTCCTGTGATGGCTGTGGTGCGTCTTCTGGCCGAGATCAGAACCAGGTAAGACCCTCAAGAATATGGAAGTCAAACACGAGCGGTTGCTCTTCTTGCCTGTGCATTATCGTACAGTAGAGTTTGGGACCTGGGGTGTTTATTCTGCGTGCTTGACTCCGTCAGGGCGTGTTTGGTGATGGCGCAGCTGCTGGAGGACAGCTCATTCTGTGAGGAGTTTATTCAGCAGTGTCCCGCAGCAGTGGAGGTGCTCAACCTGATCGCTCAGGAGTGCAGTCCTGGTGAGAGCCCACACCGATCCTTGCAACATCCTTTGTTTTTGTACATCCAAAAACAGTTACCGTAATGGTAAAACAAAATGTTATATTTAATATGAAATTATATTTTTTTTATATAATAAAATAATAATATTATGATCTTTATTTTTATTTTGTATAATATTTTGCATTTTTAAAATTCTGTTTATTAATTCTTATTTGCATACTACATTAACTAACTGAGAACAAATCTTGTTGGTTCTCGAGCTTCTAGCAAACCTGTGTCTGATGTTTATATGTGACCCTGCACCACAAAACCAGTCATAAGGGTCAATTTTTCGAAATTGAGATTTATGCATCATCTGAAAACTGAATAAATAGCTTTCCATTGATGTATGGTGTGTTAGGATAGGACAATATTTGGCCGAGATACAACTATTTGAAAATCTGGAATCTGAGGGTGCAAAAAAATCTAAATATTGAGAAAATCGCCTTTAAAGTTGTCCGGTATTTTTGGCTATTGCTACAAATATACCCCAGCGACTTAAGACTGCTTTTGTGCTCCAGGGTCACATATGTGAATAAAAAATACGTTTATATGTGAATAAAAGCTTAAATTAAATCTGTTCATCATATGAAGTGATCATATCTTTTCAGTTGCAGTGTTGTTGTTTTGTTAATTAAAAAAACCTATGAAAATTAGAAAAGTCGCATTGGCAATTAACTTAAAATAAGTTCTAAAAGTACTAAAATTGCTAAAACTAAAACTGAAATAAATAAAAAAGCAAAGCTAACTAGAAATATAAAAAATAAACAACATGAAGAAAAAAATCAATTACTAAAACTGAAAATATAAAAATGAAAGCTAATTCAAAATATTAATAAATATTATAATAGTATATAAATAATACTAAAATAGCGCTGACAACAGCATTTTCTTATTTCGTTAGCAATTTATTTGTGTGTGTTGAAAATTAGAAATGTTGCCCTGGCAATTAAATGAAATGAAATGAGTACTGAAATTACTAAAATTACAACTGAGATTAAAACAAATTAATTAATTAAAGCTAAATAGAAATATATAAAAAAAAAAACACTTAACAAAATTACTAAAACCTAAACAAAAATTAATATGAAAACTGAATATAAAACTAAAAACTAAAATATGTATAGAGAAAAATTATGAGAGAATATTAAAAATATCTCCATTTGTGTTCTGAAGATAAATGTGACAATTAGAAATGTTTTTGTTTTTCATTTGAACAAACTCTTTAACTCGCCCTCATGTCTGTTTAAATGCACAATCTTGCATGACTCTTACATATTCTTGCATGAACACTAAAAAGAGTTTTTTACAGCTGTGCTTTCACACAGTGAAGCATAAAGTAGCTCATATAACTGATACAGTGATATCTTCCTGTAGTGAAACAGCATTTATCGGCATGACTGGCGGTGTGTGTGTTTGCAGGAGAGCGTTTAGTGATGGTTGAGGCTCAGTGTGAGCGGGTTCGGATGCTGTATCGAGACTGTGCTCGTCCTCCACCTCCTCCAGTGCAAACTGATCAACGACAGGTGACTTGCTTTATTTAATGTGATCAAGAAGAGCTTCTTTTTTTTCTTTTTAAATATCGGTTAAAGTGTGATATTATCATATGTCTGCTATCATTCTCTCAACTTCCTGCTTGCCTTATATGTGTCCCTGCAGCACAAAAGCAGTCTTAAGTCGCTGGGGGATATTTGTAGCAATAGCCAAAAATACATTGTTTGGGTCAAAATTATAGATTTTTCTTTTATGTCAAAAATCATTAGGATATTAAGTAAAGATCATGTTCCATGAAGATATTTTGTAAATTTCCTACTGTAAATATATCAGAACTTAATTTTTGATTAGTAATATGCATTGCTAAGAACTTAATTTGAACAACCTTAAAGGCGATTTTCTCAATATTTTGATTTTTTTTTTGCACCCTCAGATTCCAGATTTTCAAATAGTTGTATCTCGGCCAAATATTGTCCTATCCTAACACACCATACATCAATGGAAAGCTTATTTATTCAGCTTTCGAATTTTGAAAAATTGACACTTAAGACTGGTTTTGTGGTCCAGGGTCACATATGGGCTTAAATGGGAAGTTGATAATAATATGTTGCTTAGGAAACCCAGATCTTCTTCCTCTCTCCGCAGCCTAAGGAAATCACATGGTGCCCGTCGCGCGTCTTCCCTCCGGTCCGCGCCTGCATGTTCTCCTCACACTTGACCTCCGTGACCTTTCTGGCCGATCCGAGCGCAGGCGGAGGTCTTCCCAGAGGAACGTTCATCTACGCCACTTCACCTGTGCCTGTCCAGGTAACTAAAGCCTGTTTGTGGCTCGTACACGTTTGAAGAAAATAAATGCTTAAAATAAAGACTTCTGTTCTGCAAGATCCAATGCTGTTTTGGAGTTTTAGAAATTGTTTTATTATTATTTTTTTAATGTTTATAAAGTTTATTTAGTTCCAGTTATTTTAGTACTTCAACTTAAACTAAATGAACTTGTTAGTTTATTTTATTTAATTTCAGTTAATGTTTATTTTCATTTTTTTTATGGTTTTGGTTTTAGTATATGATAATAACCCTGCCAAGGATGCATTATATTGATCAAAAGTGATGGTAAAGACATTTATAATGTTAGAAAAGGTTTCTTTTTCATATAAATGTTGTTCTTATGAATTTTCTATTAATTTAATCCTGAATAAAAATGTCACAGTTTCCTCCAAAATATGTAGAAGCACAACTGTTTTCATCATTACTAATATGAATATGAAATAATAATAAGCAGATTAAAATTATTTCTGAAGGATCATGTGACAGTGAAGACTGGAGGTAGACCGATAGTGGATTTTAACGATATCGATTAATCAGCCGATAGTTTTTAAAATGGATACTGAATGAAAACTGAAATAGTGCTTTACTATAAAATAAAAAAAACAGTACTGATCCATAATTTGTAAATGAATAAAAATATTAATGTTAAATATGAATTATATATTGATCATTAAAGTTAGTTCATAGTTCATTAACTAATGTTAACAGAAGCAACTTCAAAATGTAAAAATGTATTAGTAGATGTTGAAATTAACACACTCGAACTAGATGGCCATGACGTGTCACGTTCAGTTGAAGCGGCGGTCTAAAACACTTTATTTAATCACCAAACGGGCAAAAGTTCACTTCAAGAATGATCAAAAAAGCAGCATACATGAGTTTGAAGTTTGGTGTTTAAAAAAAAACAAAAAGAGCAAACGGAAAAAAAAAGTGCGATCTATATTATAGCTCTCTATATGAAGCACACAGACTTTATTAGAGCCACAGAAATACAAATGTTTCAATGCACAATACACAATCTTCCAGCCCAGGGGGTAGTCTTTATGTACATTAACAACAATTTGGGACAAATATAATATAATTTAATGGCGCTCTGTCGGCTGAATGAACATATCGGTTTGTTTTCTCACATCACAGCTTTAAAATCTGCAACTTCACTGGCTAACAAATGCATTAATGTGACCAGCTGGATGTAAACTAATGCAAATAGATGGCAACAATCGTGACATTAAGCATTTGGGTCAGACTTGCGTCTGTTTTGGTCAACTATCGGTGCCGATTAATCGGCAAAACTGATACATCGGTCGACGTCTACTGAAGACTGGAGTAATGATGCTGAAAATGCAGCTTTGCATCACAAAAATAAATCACATTTTACAATATATCCACATGGAAAACAGTTATTTTAAATTCTAATAATATTTCACAATTTTACTGTTTTTACTGTATTTCTGATCAAATAGAAGAGACTTTAGAAAATCTTACCAACTTCAAGCGTCTGAATGGTAGACTTCTCTACGTCTAGCTCACATTTTCTCTCTTTCTGGTTTCCAGGCTCCTTCCTTTTACTGGGAGATCGAGGTTGTTTCTTTCGGAGACTCGGAGGATGACAGCGGCCCTGTAGTTTCGTTTGGTTTCTCCCCAGAGGCCGAGAAGAGAGACGGCGCTTGGACCAGTCCTGTGGGCACCTGTCTATTCCACAAGTACTGACCCGCTCCGTTTAACACGTTCACTGGACTCTAAACCTGTTCTTTCTGTTCCTCTCTCTGCTTCCCATCCTAACTCCTTTCTGTTTACGTGTCGTCCTTGTTGTTTCTCTCCCGCTCAGTAATGGGAGGGCGGTACACTATAATGGCTCCAGTTTGCTGCAGTGGAAGAGTGTGAGACTAGACGTGACTCTACTTCCCGGTGAGACAGGACCGACTTTATTCATTTAAGCGTTTAGCCATTAGCTACAAGCACATTACGTTGTTCAAGCCAGCTTTTGGGGAAGCTACGTTTAAAACTGTTAAAGCGAGAGTTCTTTCCCGCGACAGTCGGCCTGGGCTTTTCTTTAACTCCTAAAACTAATGCTTTCCGTTTGCCTTTTTTTCTGTTGTCAATTTGTTCTGATGAACTTGAGTGATCATTATAAACTGAAATTTGTTTAAAGAGCTGAAATTGAGTGTTAAGATTGTGTAGGAGCATGATGATTATTGATTGATAATTGCCTCAACTTCCTCAGCTGTGTGCAAAAAAAAAAAAATATATATTTCTCTGTATTTTTGTCTTGTATTTTTGTTTTCCACAAATATTGAAACATTATTAAATCAAGATACATTTACTTGAGAGGCAGAATGACCAATTAAGTCAGTAACACTTTACAATAAGGCTCCATTTGTTAACATTAGTTAACTTCATTAGTTAACATAAACTAACAATGAAAAATACTCCTAAAGCATTTATTAATCTTAGTTAATGTTGATTCCAACATTTACTAATTATTAAAATCAGTAGTTGTATCTATTAATGTTAGTTAATGGACCTGAGTTATATTTTTATTAACTAACGTTAACTAAGATGAATAAATACTGTAACAGTGTATTGCTCATTGTTAGTTAATGCGTTAAATATAGTTAACAAATGCAACCTTATTGTAAATGGTTACCATTAAGTCTTATTTTCCGGAAAAATTAAATAAAACAAAACAAAAATAATAATAAATGATCAAAAACGAAGTGAGGTTGTATAAAAATTAAGTATGTTTATGCTTAAAATAAGAAAAATGTAATATTTACCACTGGGGTAAGAGGGAAAAAAAAAAGTATTTTCACTTTAAATTATTACGCTTATATTTCTTGCCACGTTGACAGATTTTTTTTTCTTATTTTAAGCATAAACCTGCTTAATTTTGATACATTTCAGAAAACAAGTCTTAATATCATAAGCCATTTTGCTTCTCAAATAAACACATATTGATTTAAGATTTAAATACCTAATGTGAAAATACATTTTTGCAGTAAAAACCAATGTTCAAAACAATGTAGTGTTTTGTCACAACAAGCCGATACTGGAAAAAGTATCTTGTTACTAAAAAAAAGCTGTGCTGTTTTTCTGTTTTTTTCAAGAGAATATGTTAAAGTTGAAGTAGTTGGGTTAAAAGTTTTAGTAACTAACCCCTGATTGCTGGTAGGCAAACATTTGTGAGCACAGATTCCAGATTTTCAAATAGTTGTATCTCGGACAAATATTGTCTGATCCTAACAAACCATACATCAATGGAAAGCTTATTTACTCCGCTTTCAGGTGATGCATAAATCTCAATTTCGAAAAATTGACTCTTATGACTGGTTTTGTGCTCCAGGGTCACCATATATCATCGCTCACAAAGTTATATGAATATTTTCTTGTTCATGCAAGTGTATAGAGTTGTTGAGCTGCTGTGGTGATGGTTTGTGTGGTGTGTTTGGACTCAGGTGATGTTGCAGGCATCGGTTGGGAGCGTTTGGAAGGCACTCCTCCTCCCCCCGGCCAGCCTCCCAAAGGCAGAGTCTACTTCACCTACTGCGGTCAGCGTCTCGCTCCTTATCTGGAGGACGTGGCCGGAGGCATGTGGCCCGTGGTCCACATTCAGAAGAAGGTTTGCACACAAATATGATACATTACAAGCAAACCAGTGGTGCTCATAACTAAGTTCAAGATGATTCGAAATGGTTTTAGTCCATTTGTAGGTTATACTGGATATTCCTAGGAGGATTTTCAGTGCCTGAAATGTGCTAATTAAATAAAGAAATTAATATCATACTATAGTAGTATTTATTAATATTTTGAATTTACTTTTATTTTTATACTGTCAGTTTAATTTCATTTTTAGTTGTAGTGTTTTTTTCTTCTTCTTTTTTAAATATTTCTATTTAGCTTTAATTTATATTTTAGTAATTTTTATACTTCAACATATTTTATTTCATTTAGTTGTCAGGCAAAAGTTTTTTTTAAGTTAAAGCTTTTCAACTAATATTTATATTATAAACTTTATTTAAATTAACTATTGACATTTTTATAGTTAAAATTTATAGTTTTTTTATAGTTTAGTTAAAATGTATAATTTTTTATAGTTTTAATATTTTAATATTGTTATTAACAGCAACAACACTGGCTTTAACCCAATATAATTACTAATGATACTAATGAATAATACAATTTTAAATTTAAGCAGTTATTTAAAAATTAAAAATAAATATATTAATTTTAATGTAAGATCGAATAATGCACTACAGTTAAAATGATAATTAAGTACTTTAGTATCAAATGCTTTAGTTTGTTAGTCAGCACATCAAACTAAGTGCACTTCTTTAAAACACGACAAAAGATTATTAAAATATAATGATATAAATGTACTTTAATGAAAAACTTAATTTGACATTCATATAAAGATCACTTTTTAGTGTACTTAAGTGTGTTCATTTTATACCCAATATAATAACTAATGATACTAATGAATAATACAATTTTTAAATTTAAACAGGTTTTTTTAAAGATAAAAATAAAAATATTAATTTTAAATATAAGATCGAATAACACACTACAGTTAAAATGATAATTAAGTACTTTAGTATCAAATGCTTTAGTATGTAAGTCAGCACATCAAAATAAGTGCACTTCTTTAAAACACGACAAAAGATTATTAAAATATAATGATTTAAAATGTACTTTAATGACAAACTTAATTTGACATCAATACAAAGATCACTTTTTAAAAGTGTACTTAAGTGTGTTCAGAAACAGTCATGAAAGTCTCTGTTGGCTGATATACCCAATAAAACAAGAAGAGATTATGAATTAGATGGAAAATTATATATGGAACAAAAATATGTATGTTAAAGTGACAAATAACAAAACAAATATGGAAATTTCATAAATTGCGGAGTGTAAAGAGCACTTGCTAGCCTAAAAAGGATCAGACAGTAATTATCATGAGTCATAATTATTTTTCTGGTTTCTGTGGTTCTGCGATTATTAAATGACATACAAAAAAAAAACAGTTTCCTTTAGGATACTGTATGCTTATGTATTTGCTAGGGGTTAATGTCTTAGGGGTCAAAACAGTAAAAATGTGAAATATTATTACAATTTTAAGTAGCTGTTTTCTATGTGAATATCTGTTAAAATGTGATTTATTCCTGTGATGCGCAGCTGTATTTTCAGCATCATTACTCCAGTCCTCAGTGTCACATGATCTTCAGAAATCATTCTGATATGCTGATTTGCTGCTCAAGAAACATTTCTGATTATGTCTTTTTAATGTACACTGATTGCTTTATTTCATCCCTGCTTTCATCTGCAACATCTTATTTGTTCGTTGTGACTTTTTTTTTTCAGAATACGAAGATTCACGCAAACTTCGGCTGCCGGTTGTTTGCGTACGCAGAGGGACAGGCTCACCGAAACGCCGCCGATCTCTGCATGGACCTCTCAGAGGAGATCAGCGCCAACTTCGAGGCTCTGCCCTTCGCCATGGCCTCCGACAGTGACAACGACGCCGGCACGAGCGTGGCGTCTGACTCAGGGTCTCACGGTCCCCCGTGTCGCATCGCTGCGGTCGTCACAGCACAGCAGCGTCAGTGTCCACTCAGCTGAGTCCAAAATATTAACTTCAGTTTCAGAGCAAAAATGATGTGTGCGTGTACAGTACCAGTCAAAGCTTTGGAACAATAAAGCAATGAGCCGCAAGAAGCCGTGGTTTACAGTGAATTTATAACAGCTAAGGTGCGTTGTTAGGCACGACGCGAAGCGGAGGTTGCCGAGCCACACACAAATGTAAACAAAGGTGTATGTTTGTAGAGTAATTTACAACAGCTACGAACGTGGCTCAGCCAATCAGAATCAAGGACCGGAACTCTCTTCTGCTCACCAGGGCTGCATTTCTTTGATCAAAAATACAGTAAAAACAGTAAAATTGTGAAATTTTATTGCAATTTAAAATAGCTGTTTTCTAGGTGAATGTCTGTTCAAATGTAATTTATTTCTGTGATCAAAGCTGTATTTTCAGCATCATTACTCCAGTCTTCAGTGATCTTCAGAAATCATTCTAATATGCTGATCTGCTGCTCAAGAAACATTTCTGATTATTATCAATGTTGAAAACAGTCGTGCATGAATGTTTTTGTGGAAACTGGATGCATTATTATTTTTCAGGATTATTTGATTAATAGAAAGTTCAAAAGAACAGCATTTAATTGAAATCTTTTATAACATTATAAATGTCTTTAATGTCAGTTTTGATCAATGCGTCATTGCTAAATAAAAGTATTGATTTCGTATAAGCCCCAAACTTTTGAATGGTAGTATGTATCACGGTTTCCACAAAAATATTCGCCTGCACAACCGCTGCACAATTCGTTTTCAACATTGACAATAATCAGAAATGTTTCTTAAGCAGCATATTATAATGATTTCTGAAGATCATGTGACACTGAAGACTGGAGTAATGATGCTGAAAATACAGCTTTGATCACAGAAATCAATTACATTCAGAAATATATCACAATAAAAAATCATTCTTTTGAATTATAATAAAATTTCACTGTTTTTTTGTTTTTTTACTGTATTTTTGATCAAATAAATGCAGCCCTGGTGAGCAGAAGAGGCTTCTTTCAAAAACATTCTAAAAAATCTTAATTATTCCAAACTTTTGGTTGGAAGCTTTTGAATTTTTTCCCTCCTGCTATAGAATAAAATGAATTATCTGACTGAATCAGTAAAGCAGATGTTATTCATGTGGGTTAAACCTTATTATTTTGTTTTGTTCACAGAGTACAGCAGTGATGCCTCTTGTCACTATAAGGTTGAACTGAGTTATGAGAATCTGGTTGTCTCGGGGCCAAACGTTCATCCGCCACCGATTGCAGATGATGAGAGCGATGATGAAGACGATGAAGATATTCCGAGGGTATGAAGCGCTCATAACCAGGCCCTTAACTTCCTCACAAACCATTTACACACATTATACACCACTCACACAGTGACTCCGAGCTGCCTTTTCAAAGAAAACCTGTTTCTTTCTCTTGCCTTCTCTCTGTAAAGGAGGATCATTACGCTTTGCTTGTGAAAGCGTGGGAAAGCAAAGTTTTCCCAACCATTCGCCGTCGTTTCAGGAACGAGGCAGAGAGGAAGTCCGGCCTGGACCAGATCAAAGGAGCGCTTCAGCTGGGTGAATAAACGCCTGTCTCAGTTTCATTTGCAGTGGCTACGGACACTTCAGCATACGTTTAAAAAGAGTACTTATGTACTTTAAAAGAACATACTGAATGTAATGTTTTCAGACACTTAATTGCGTTTTAATTGCAATAGATTGAAAATGTATTATAATTTAAAATGATATAAAATGCATTTAGCTGAACTTTTAAAGCGCTTTTTGACCCACTTAAGTAGGACTTCAGTACATCTTTATATGTAATTTCATAATTACTTCTACTGTTTTTGAAATATGGTTAAAGTGCTGCTGAATGTACTGACGAGCATTTATGATACACTAAAATATACTTTAATGACATTTCTTTTGGAACTTGTATCATGTATTTTAACCTGTTTGTGATGATGAAGTTGCAATTTAGTACATTTAAACTATATTAGCTTTAATATTGAATAACAGAGTACAGTTAAAATGATAATCAAGTACTTCACATGTGCTTTAGTATGTTCGTCAACACATCAAAAGAAGTGTACTTGATGATTACAATGATTTAAAATGTACTTTAAAGTAAACCTTTTGATACTATAACAAAGGTACACTAAAAGTGTACTTAAGTGTGTTCAGAAACAGTCATGAAGGTGTCTCTTTAAGTCACTTAAGTGGTCTTTTATTTCATTAATATTATATTATCTGCAAGTACAGTTTTTTAAAACATGAAGTACGCTACAAGTGCACATCCAGCACACTTCAAGGTCTCCTCTATGTGTCTAATATGAATTATGCTGTAATGTCTGGCAGGAATGGTGGATATCGCACGGCAGACTGTCGAGTTCCTGTATGAAGAGAATGGAGGTATTCCTCGTGACCTCTACCTCCCAACCATCGAGGATATCAAAGATGAAGCCAATAAGTTCACCATCGACAAAGTCCGTAAAGGTCTGTGCGAAACACACGTTGTCTGGGATCCTATGCACTTTTCTGTGTTAGATGACACTTTCACAATTTTCACAATTCACAATTTTTAGTCAGCTTTTACAGTGTCACTGTTTTCCCCTCAGGTTTGACAGTGGGCATCCGCTGCCCTGAGGGAAACAACACCAGCAGCAGCACAGCTCTGCCGAAGTTTGCCATCCGGGGCATGCTGAAGACCTTCGGCCTGCATGGAGTCGTGCTCGATGTCGACTCTGTGAGTATCTGCATCAGTCAGGTTAGGGTTTACAATTTAGTCTGTTTAACAGAATTACCAAACTCCACAAAAAAATCCAAATTTCACAAAAAAAAAAATATATAATAATTTAGATAATTGTATTATATATTGTTATATAAATTGAATTTTGACCCATACAATGTATTGTTGGCTATTTCTACAAATATCCCCCAGCGACTTAAGACTGCTTTTGTGCTCCAGGGTCACATATGAGTAAATTAAGCCTTATTTAAATACTTTTTGCATATTAATGACAATTGACTCTATGCACCTTTGTGCTTTATTCCTAGTTTTATTTATTTTATCTATTTTGTTTTTTATTTTGATAACATTAGGATATAATGAGAATCATCCGGATTTGACTTTTTTTTTTCTAATGAAATGAGCATAAGGCTGTACAATATTCTCATGATTTAATGATGATAATGTGAAATACTGCAGATTTTAAACACTATAATTTTAAACATTATAAATGTAAATATTTTTTCTTAACATTGAAATAGTTCAGACTTTTTTTGCTGTGAGATAAAATAATAATAATAATAATAATAAACCTCACAAAAAGGCCTACATTAGTCACATTAGAAAAAAAACATTTCAATTAAATTCAATTGTCGTGAATATGCTAAAATTATTTAAGTAAGTCTTTCAAATAATTTTCAAATATATATATATATTTGAAAATTAAGACTTAAATAATTTTAGCATATTCACGACAATTGACTCTTGTATGCATTTGGTTGCATTTATTTTATTATGGTATAATATTATTATATTATGGTTTAAATTTATTTATTTATTATGTTTTTGCAATTTTGATCAGCAAAAAATCTGCAAAAGTCTGATTTTACTAGAATTAAAAATATATATATTTGAAAATAAAGCGTTATTGAAATACTTTGCATATTCATGCATATTGATTCTTGTATGCATTTGGGTTTCTTATTCATAGTTCTATTTAATTTATTTTATGTGTGGTATATATCATTTTTTATATTTTGGCAATTTTGATTTTGATCATTTTAGGACATGAGAAGCATCCAGCACAACAGTTTTTCCCTAGTAAAATCAGCAAAGGTCAATGCAATACAACCATGATTTAACGATGTATAAGTACTTCACATTTTAAATAATATAACCATATACATGAAAAAAAAATTTTCACACCATTGAAACAGTCCGTGCCTGTTCTTTTCAGGCTGTGACAATCATTACATTCACCAGCCTTTTAACCTGCACCTGTTTCAAATGCAACAAATCAGAAACTTGACTGACTTGATTTGTGTGTGTTCAGGCCAGTGAGCTGGTGCAGGTGGAGACGTATCTCCGCAGTGAGGGAGTGTTAGTTCGGTACTGGTACCCCATTGAGACGCTGGAGAGGCCGCCGGCAGGATCCCGCAGGGCTGCAGCGAACGGCCTGGTGTCTCTAGACAGCAGCAACATCCAGATTCACCGGTAATGCATTTATAGAAACATGTTTCTTATTGTCGATTCAGAAATATCAGGTTTTTACTGAAAGAGTTCTCCTTTTTAAGCACCATTTTTCATTAGCATTCAGTACTGTGTGTGTATGTGTGTTTCAGGGAGCTGCTGCGCTGTGAAAGTGCTCTGTTCACGACAATTGACTCTTGTATGCATTTGGTTGCATTTATTTTATTATGGTATAATATTATTATATTATGGTTTAAATTTATTTATTTATTATGTTTTTGCAATTTTGATCAGCAAAAAATCTGCAAAAGTCTGATTTTACTAGAATTAAAAATATATATATTTGAAAATAAAGCGTTATTGAAATACTTTGCATATTCATGCATATTGATTCTTGTATGCATTTGGGTTTCTTATTCATAGTTCTATTTAATTTATTTTATGTGTGGTATATATCATTTTTTATATTTTGGCAATTTTGATTTTGATCATTTTAGGACATGAGAAGCATCCAGCACAACAGTTTTTCCCTAGTAAAATCAGCAAAGGTCAATGCAATACAACCATGATTTAACGATGTATAAGTACTTCACATTTTAAATAATATAACCATATACATGAAAAAAAAATTTTCACACCATTGAAACAGTCCGTGCCTGTTCTTTTCAGGCTGTGACAATCATTACATTCACCAGCCTTTTAACCTGCACCTGTTTCAAATGCAACAAATCAGAAACTTGACTGGCTTGATTTGTGTGTGTTCAGGCCAGTGAGCTGGTGCAGGTGGAGACGTATCTCCGCAGTGAGGGAGTGTTAGTTCGGTACTGGTACCCCATTGAGACGCTGGAGAGGCCGCCGGCAGGATCCCGCAGGGCTGCAGCGAACGGCCTGGTGTCTCTAGACAGCAGCAACATCCAGATTCACCGGTAATGCATTTATAGAAACATGTTTCTTATTGTCGATTCAGAAATATCAGGTTTTTACTGAAAGAGTTCTCCTTTTTAAGCACCATTTTTCATTAGCATTCAGTACTGTGTGTGTATGTGTGTTTCAGGGAGCTGCTGCGCTGTGAAAGTGCTCTGGCGCGTCTCTACTGCCGCATGGCATTGCTCAACATCTTTGCTCCCAAGAGCCCTCACACGTTCACACGTCTCTTCCACATCCCCGCCGTGCGCGACATCACACTTGAGCACCTGCAGCTCTTGTCCAATCAGCTGCTGGCTCCGCCTCTGCCAGGTGATGTCATACATCACAGGTGGCCAACTTGTTTGGTCCAAATTTAGGAATAGTTCACCCAAAAATGAAAATTAGCTGAAAATGTGCTCAGCCTCAGGCTGTCCAAGATGTAGATGAGTTTGTTTCTTCATCAGATTTGGAGAAATGTAGCATTGCATCACTTGCTCACCAGTGGGTGCTCTGCAGTGAATGGGTGCCGTCAGAATGAGAGTCCAAACAGCT